GGGAAAACCAATATCTACCAGACTATGTCTCAATCCCTGAACACTGTTGTTTCAAGGTTGTCTATAAATTGCTATTTACCTCAATCTCATTTAGCCCATGCATACCTCCCTAACTCTCCCCCTGTCTTCATTGTTCATCTGCCACTGTCCTTCCAAAGAAGGCATTTTTGAATCATTAAGTATATGCAGCTAATTTGAGTAGACTTCAAAAAGTTCATAGAAAAATGCCATTATCTTTTCATTCCATTTTTTTCATAGACTTTTGAAACCTTCTTGTATGGTTTTTTACCTCAAAAGAAACATTACTTTTTCTAAAGCAAATAAGTATGGGACTATAATAAATACTTCCAGGAGGTAAGACAAAAAGGGAAAAAACAAAAATGGGATGGGCGTTGGGGGAAGAAAGGAAGAAAATAATGTCATATAGGATTTAAGATAATACAAGATGTAAAACATTTTATTTCCTCTTGAATTCTAATATATCAGCCTTTTTAATTTACTTGGGTGAGATATGCCTGACACAAGTCATGGTATTTTCAATAACTTCACTAGTCCACAATAACTATGTTAAAGCTGGACAGTGAATTAGGAAGACTGTAGAAGAATTGATGCATTTGAGTTATGGTGTTAGAAAATAGTGAAAGTACCATGAACTGCCAGATGAACAAACAAATGTATTTTAGAAGAAGTACAACCAGAATCCTCCTTAGAAGCCAAGCTGGCCAGAGTTTGTCTTTCATACATAGTATCAAGAGGGACCAGTCCCTGTAGAAGGACATCATGCTTGGTAAAGTGAGGGTCAGTGAAAAAGAGGACCTGCAATGAGATGGATTGACATACTTGCAGCAGCAATGGGCTCAAGTGTAGCAGCAATTGTGAGGAGGGCACAGGACTGGGTGGTGTTTCGCTCTTTTGTGTATAGGTTCACCATAGGTCAGAACTGACTTGATGGCACCTAACAACAACAACAACAACTTACTTTACTCATGAAAATGGTTGTCATAAATTGCAACTGAAAGACAAATCATAAGGTACTTAAGTAGTGTGTGATGATTTAGTAGGTCTTTCACCCACCTACTCCTGGGGAAGCCTTTTCTGAAGGCAGGAAACATAATCTGTCAGCAGACAGAGGTAGTTATGCACTGTGGAGTCAGTACTAACTCATAGTGTCCCTGTATGGGATTTCTGAGGCTGTAAATCTTTATGGGAGCAGAAAGCCTCATCTTCTTCCTGTGGAGTAGCTGGTGGATTCTAACTGCAGACCTTGTGGTTAACAGCCCAATGTATAACCCACAATGCTATCGGTGATACAGGGCTTGAGACATAGTCTGGTAGATATTGGTTTTCCCTGCCAACTATTGTAAAATAGACATTTAAATGTGATAGCAATTAATATTGGGAATTATAATTACAGAGAGCTTGAAAACCTGTCTTCAGCCTATATCTGGTTGGATTAGATAAAAGGGGAATTAGAATCTTCACAGGGAAATAGGCTTCTTGTGAAGCCTTTGTGGAGTATGTGCCCTTAGGTAGAGTCCTGAGCTCCACCCAGAGCCTTCTGAGATGGGACATTCCCACTTGAAAAGACTCGCAGACCAACCCAGAATGACTGGGATAACGGAAGATTCTTATTGAAAGAAAGATCAGCAGTAAAAAACACAGACTTTTTTGGCTGTTAGAATATCAAGCAAGCTGTTTGTGTTGGAGAGAGATTTAACTGCTATTGCTGATTCTATTCCAAATGAGCTCACTGACTTTTAACTTGTCTTGATCCTGTTTTCACATTCATAATTGCAATTTGTGACAGATTTCAACCAGCCTCACAGACTCCAGTCTTTGTCTGCTCATAGTTATCCTCCAGTGAATAGCCACAGCGATCTTTCTAAGGCACAAACCTATTCATGCTGCTTCCATGATTAAAATGTCTGCCTTCTCAAATACATAAGATAAAATCCAGTTTCTAAACAGTCCCAAGCACCGAACCCCTTGTTTGAATTGTCTCTGCCAAAAATGTGCTGAAATCCTAATTTTATACCTGTAAATATGACCCTTTTTGGAAAGAAGGGTGTTCTTTTGTCATGTAAACGAGGCCATACTTTAGTAGGGTGGGTCCCAAACCCAATTATTTCTAAGTTATAAAAAAAGCAGAATTGTTGTTAAGTGCTGTCGAGTCGATTCCAACCAATACAGACCCTGTATAGGGTTTCCAAGGAGCAGCTGGTGAGCTTGAACCACCGACCTTACAGTGCAAATGACTTTGCATTCTGTCACATTAACCCATGGCGCCACACCAGGACACCATAAAAATAAAGCAGAATAGACAAGAGGTAAGGAAAAACAGATGATGGAAACAGATGCACCTATAAGACCAAGAACGTTAAGGATTAAGAAGCTTTGGTGGCACTGTAGGAAAAGCACTGGACTATCAACCACAAGGTTGGTTGTTCAAACCCACCAGAGGCTCTGAGGAAGAAAGATGAGTCTTTCTGCTCCCATGAAGAATTAAAGCCTCAGGGTTGCTATGAGTTGGAATTTACTTAACTGCACTTAACAACACGCAGTCCCTGGGTTATGAACAAAATATTTCTGTGTCTTGAAATGAAATGTGTAGGTGAATTGAAACAGGTGCATACGGTTCTTATTTAGTCTTCCTTCAGTGCAGGAAATGGCACAAAGTCTTTTCAATCATTTAAAAGCAGCAGGTACAGCCAGTGAGGGTGAGAGTGACGAAGAATCTGCTGTCAGCAGGGGTAGATTCAGTGGTTTCAAAGTGAGAGGACATTAAAGGGAAAGTAGGAGTTGTCCATAGGTTGGACATTCCTAATCCTGGTACTGCCAGTACTAGAAGCTGAAAAAGTAAGAACAAACAGCTCCCGAAAGCCATGCACTTAATTTAGACTTCTAATTTCTTAAACTATCAGAAAATATTTTTTTAAGCTACCCATTTATGTTGTCCTGGTGTGGCGTTGTGGGCTAATGCATCAGACTGCCAAGTTGTTTGAACTGCAAGGTTAGTGATTCAAGCTCACCAGCTGCTCCTTGGAAACCCTATACAGGGTCACTGTGGTTGGGAATTGACAAGCTGGTACTTAACAACAGCAACAATTTACGTTGTTGCAGCAGCACTAATCAGTACAGACACCCATCTTACCATCTTCATCTCCTACCTCTCCCTTGCCCCAAACTACATTAATGTTCTTTTCAGAAACCTTCGTCTTAAAGTTGCATTCTTTTCTTTAAGGGCTGAGATCATGGCCCTCCAATATTCCTTCCGGCTTGTCTTTTAATCCTAGGTTTAACTTAACATTGCTGCACTAAATCCTTAAACTGTACATTCCTGGAGTACAGAAGAAAAGTTAGAAAGAGCAGTAATTATTATTATTTTTTTTTTACACATGAAATTTAAGTTTTATTTAAAAAGTCAGACTTTATATACATTATTCTTTTTAAAATGAAAACTCATGTCTTAACATTAAGCAATGAGTCAATATTACAAAACTGTTTACAGCAATAATTAAAGTAGAGATAACATTTTACCAGTGTAAAATGTCACAGAATTCAATGGGGAGTTAATAGATGTTACTGATTTTGCAATCGTCCATCAACCATCATAGGTTCTATTCCCTGTTAAAGTCCCCAGAAGCCAAGCAAATCATTGCGGTGCCTGGCCCTTAAACGTGCCATGTGCCTTTGCTCTCAGGCCAAGAATCACTGCGCAAATAGGAATTGTCACCTTTTTTTTGCCCTGCCTACCATGCAAATCAAACGTCCCGGGATATTAGTCTTGCTCATATGATCCAAGAGTAAATAGACAAAGGTTCACAAAACAGACTAAATGCTCCAGAGAAAGGAAGATTGCTCAAGGGAAATAAGACCCAATATATCCAGATTACACTCGCAGCCAAGGTCACTCACGGTACAAGTAGACCTGTGTTATCTTTCAGTAACCCAGAAATTGATTGGAACTTAATCCAACAGCATTTTAGGAGGTTGTGGAACAACACACACCTGTCTGCAGATATTCATCAGCTACATGCTCAAATTTATGACACAAGTAATTCTCAAAGTGAACACTGAGTGGCCACTAACCCGCTACCCCTGCTAGAGAGCAAGATCCCCCAAGAACTTGACCAAACCCCAGCATAATGATCCTGCCTGGCCACTCCAGAGCGGGTGGTGGGCCGGCAACGTCCGGCGCACGGGGTCCCCAGCCGATCCCCCCCTCCCTGCCTTCCTCGGACAGCGGCTGTCTATGCTGGACGTGTGGCCAGAGACGGGTAAGGATCACGTGGAACCCCAGCAACCCAAGACAGAGCCATTACCATGCTGCAATGAGCTTCAATGACTGGTAAGACTGAGGAATTCGCACTGACCGCCCAAGACAGGCAGCGTCCCTTAAACAAACAATAAACAAGGAGGA